TATGTATGTATGTATGTATGTAACTATGTATGTATGTATGTATGTAACTATGTATATATGTATGTATATATGTATGTATGTATGTATGTATGTATGTATGTATGTATGTTTGTATGTATGTATTTCCCATGAACAATACTTCTTATAGTATTCATAATTGTGATTTTCAAATAATGACTCTACAGTTCTTAACTTGGAGCAGGAGCACTTAATTAGTAAAGGTACACTTAACCATTTCCACCCTATTATCAGTATGCATATTCTCCATACTGTTCTCTAGACTTTTCCTGTGGTGCTGACAAGGGGAATTTGGTTAATAACCAAAAGCCTCTTTACAGGGGTTTCACTAAGGACTGGGCAACAGGCAAATTAACCGGTTGTGAGGGCGGTTTTGCCCACCTGGTTTGACCATCAGGAGGAATGTTTATCTTACAAAGAAGTTAAGTTCAAAAAGTTTTGCCCACACGTGAAAACCAGTTGCCCTGTCTTAAGGTTGTGATCATTTTCTACTCTTGTGACCTAACTTTTTGATTCAGGGGCAATATTGTTAAAAGAAATTAGACGCCAGTCAACCTTACGGGTTAAAGGTTTAAGTTGATACACTTGAAATTAATGTATAATTGCCTACCTCTTCTCTTGTTGGTTGAATGTTCTGTGACATATTCAATGTCTCTAACCTAAAATCAAGAAACAATTGAACAGTTTAGTTTCAGATGATTCTAGGTGAGAGTTTCTCTACCCTAAAATCAAGAAAAATTACACTATTTTCAGATGGTTCTATGCGAAAGTTTCACATATAATCAAAGTACTATAAATGGACGTGCTCTTCATTGCAACCTCCCTTCAAATCTGTCTCACACCAGCATCTCCTCATCTGGTATAGACCAGCCCAGGCACCATCTCTTCCCTCCCCCCCCCTTCCTTTATAACCCTACCACACCCTATCATTCTCTCAATAAGCTTGCCAAATGATCTAAAACATTCTTGTTAAATGAAGATGCAGGTTAACTGCATGAAAACATTAACAAAACCCCTAAAGGAGCCACCACTATTCAGTATTCTCCTTTTCAGACCATCACTGATACAATCCCTCTTATTATCACCTAACATTGCTTGGGATTCATGAAAACATCAGCACATGAAAGGAATGATCTAACCATTTAAAAATTTCTTTTGCCTATTGTACTTAAAATTAGGAAATGTGGACTATTACAGTAATTGACAGACAAGTTGTCTTCGGCTTGTCTACTGTACAAGGGAGCAAGAAAATTTGTCCTATTTCTCAAAAGAGAAGTCAGCTTGCCCCAGATGATTAATCTCAATGCTCTACATCCTTACCGGTGCGTAAGTTGATCCAAAATAGTCTCTAATCTGTTGATCAGTGGTCTCTGGTTTTAGTCCTCCAACAAATATTTTCTTTACTCTTAAATGAGGTGGCTGAAAGTGGAAGATCACATTACTGTTAGAAAAGGATTACCAGTAAATTGCAATTACACACAAATGCACGCCTAATGATTAAAGCATCGAGGGTGGACAACATCAGGGAGAAGGAATAAAGTCCCTGGCCTTAAGCCAGTACTTAAGATTTCATTTCTCCTCTCAGTTTAAAACATTCCTTTGGGGGTCATGTGATGAGGAAAGACAAACTACTGAAATTTGACATGTAGGGTGCAATGATCAATTTGAGGCTTCAACATCTTCCTCCCTTCCCTCCCCTCCTGCCCTTCCAGTAACCTCCAAGGCATTTGAACTTTCGACCCTTTTTTGCTTTGTTCAAACTCCCACCCCCTTGGACCAAAATTGCATTCAAATCTCCCACTCAAAGTTAATCAGCTAACATGACTATGTACAGATAGCCCCAGCTTCAAAAACTAGACCTACTAACCCTTTTCTTCTGAGCCATTCGCATGTGACAGTGATCGAGCTCTTTATAATACTTCTATTCTGCTAGCAAGACACTTCAGGTTCAAATTCCCACCACCATCCTCCGGGCACGGACGAAGGTCAAATGCCCAAGGGTTTTCCCAGGAAATTGGAGGGGAATGTTGAATCTTCAAATTGATGGGTGCACTACTTTAACCTATAATCAACTTCTCCTCATTACTTCACCTCAAAATGTTTAACACAAAGTAGGGAGAATTATTCATCAATTTTTAGGAGTCCAACAAGTTCTTTGATGCATAAATATAGCCTTCCCCGATTAAATTGCCACCTTTTCGTCTTGAGGAAGTGTTACAATAAACAGTCAAGAGCTACTGTACATGTATTCTGACCAGACCTTTTAGGGGTCATACTGGTAATTAAGAATTAAGACAAATACCAATTTGTTGGCCCTCAAGGTTTTGCAAAGAGAATTTGTTTATCAATCAAAGCTTCTTTGATTGGTGATCATTTCCTTTATTTTCGTGTTCTTAGTGAATGATTTGGCAGTATGTATTACTGTCAGGAAAAATTCGATTCTGGTCGATCTTAGGGCTTAAGGAGATGTTCAAGACAATGAGTGCAAATATAGCAACTCTTATGAAATCGTCCATAGGACAGAGAGAGCACCCATAAGGAAAGCTGATGACCACACAAGTGGTTGCAACCTGAGAAAAATCCAGAGTGTTTCGTATAGAATTTGCAGTTAGTTTGGCAAAACCATGAGACATCTAGTAGCGAGTCATTTGATAAAGTTTCTCTCTTGACAGGGATTTATACTTCCTGTTTGTAATGTCTTTATATACCAACCTTATTTATTGGTGCTGCTGGCTTAGGATCAACCTAACAGAAATACAAAAAAAAATATTCAATGCAAATTAAGTCATTACAATCAAAACTAAGTTTATCAAAAATGAATCACACCTATCACTACATGTGTGCCAACACCAAATTCCTCTAAAGTATCAATATAGAATGTGGTGTTCCAAAGAAATGCAAACTTTCTTAATTTTATTTGTCATTCCTGCTACACTGTATTAGAATGTTTTTACTATCATCCCACCCAACTCTTCCAAAAGTGCAGCAGTGGCAAAATTCCTTTATTAATATCTTGGAATTTTGATAAACACCCACTCAATGTACAATCTATCAAAGGCTCCTTAGAGCAACCTCATGGTATGAAATTTTGGCACCCTTCAGACGTAACCTGCGATCTGGTTTGTAAGCATTTTGATGGAGAAAAATTGTCTTAAATTGCAAATGTGTGAAGAATTACCAGCAGCTACAAGATAAAATCAACAAAGTTTCATGCTAACCAATTTGCAGTAAGCTTTTAAGCTCACAACAAATTTAACAGTGTTTGGATCTTCACGCACAAATTGTTCATGTTATTGTCACTTTTAGGACTCAGATGCCCATTTCTCTGCAGTCGAGTATTCTGTACCACATTTCCTTTCCATTTTTGGCTCCAAAAAGGTATGTTTTGATCAAGTTTGGAATCAAAAAACCATCACGCTTCAAGGGACAGGATGCCATTTTGAATCTGTCCAAGTAGTTTGGCATATTCTTGCCCTTATACCACCCCCCCGAATATATGTACATCATGACTTTGAACAGGTAAACTTGTCGGGAAGGGGGAGAAAAAGTGTTTAATCCAGGTTTAATGCAGAAATTAATGTCTAACAAAGTGAGTGAGTGATTTTTAATTGAATTTTGCCCCCAAACCCAAAACCCCATAGCATGACTTATGTCATACCATGAAGCAAAAATGACAAAAAATAAACCACCAGCTTCATTTGCAGCTTTATGACTTACTGTTTTCCCATCTAATAAATGTGGACCTCCATGCTGCAGGACCTGAAATTCCAACAAGTAACCAATAATTTCTATCAGTTTGCCAGCCTATATTCTTCCAGACTGCCGCAGTACATACATTCAACACTGCTATCTTGAACACAGCAATGTACAAGAAGAATATCATTTGCAGGAAAAACAATCAGACAAAGTTACGCGTGAGTGAATTTGTACAAAGCCAAGGGCAAGTTGCACTAGGGGCATGTTTCTTAACTAAAATCTAAAAACAGATCATTGATCCTCACTGAAGGTGAATGCTTTGAATCTGATCCAAAATCGCGATACTTTAGAAACACGATCTGAAGCATTTCTTTACTCCAGATTCAAAAAAGTAATTGTCATCAACAGTAACTTGAAAAAAATTGTAACTTACAAAACATGCTAGACTTGCTACCTTGTAAATAATTATCTTGCCGCCATTTTGCAGCAGCATCAATGTCAGCATGAATCAGGTCAATAAAGGTGAAAAAATTTTAACAGCAACCAATTTTTGTCTAGCAAGAAATTTTAGAAAATCTACCCGTAAACATCAGGTATATATGCTGCTGCTTTGCATAAGTCAAATTGATTGACATGTTATACAGAGGCACTCAGGGTTTCCAAGAATCCATAGGGTGATCAACAGTTGTTTTCTAAGCTCAAATAAGGGTTGTCCTATTTCCTCATTGAGACATGACAGGGTTCCACAGGCATTCAAGAGGTTATCAAAGACAGAGACAGTATACCCAGACATTCAGAAATGACTTCGGAAGTCATATGCGCTGTACCTTGGGAATACTTTGCTAGGATCTCTTTTCTCATTTTTATATCAGCCAGCAAAGCTGACAAGAGCTTCTGGGATTCTTTGTTGGGCACATTCAATTTCTCCAAGGTAATCATCAACACTGAATTCCATAAAAACAGTAACCTTCGCATTGTTTTCGCTGGCTTTTTTTTTCCCATCTACTGATATTGATGGCTGGTTTTGAAGATAATCCATTTTTGGATACATTGTTTCTTTTCTTAGCAAACTATCTTAATGATCCAAATTTTTTATTTTATGTCTGATTTTAGTAAAGAAACACACCCTAAGGCTTTAAACTCATGAACAGGAAGAAAATGCATCTAAAGATTACACTGCAGGTCTGAAAATGTTCTCACAGTTAGAGCACCTATTATTTTCATGACTTTGGGAGAGGAATCTTAATTCACTTCAGTCTTACAATGGTCAATCTGGATCCAGATGAAAATTGCAATCATTTTCAGGGTTGAAAACAAACCATTGGCTGTGTGAAGCCAAAATACCACTCAGAGTAAAAGAATGAAATATCGAGCTGCTGCCCCTAACAGCAAATATGTGGCAAAATTCCAACCTTGATCACGAGAGAAGCACTAATCAGACTGCTGGTGAAAGCTTGACATAATAACTAAAGGGAACCTTTTACACTAAGAACTGATTGACATTGCTACTTATTAAGCACTTTCCAATCAAAAGAAAGGCACTTGATTTGATGGAAGATCATGTAATTACAAGCACAAAATTCCATCAAATTGATGAATAATAAGATAGTAATCTTTTGCAATTTTAATTTTCTTTCTTTCTACAAAATTGTCTCCCAAACGACACAATCATTGAAATAAATTAAATTACAAATCAGAGCGCAAGTAGATTACTCGTCTGCTGGAAATTTTGGTCCATTTCCAAACTAGACAAGCACGAAAGTTCTAGAAGGTGGTATGTCCTAATAACCTTATTTGTTTAGTTCATTCCACAGCTGTAATTTCAACCACCCCAAACTCTCTATGCCCTAACAAACCACTAACAGCAAATGAAGAACCACATCATACACACACAAATAACTTTCACAAAAGAGTGAAAAATAAGTTGCTTATCAGCCTTTACATCTCAGCCCTCAGTCAACACAGAGAGATGTCAGCCTGATTACAGTTGACAAACAAAATTTAAGTTCAGTTTCCTGAAGGAACAAGGCATAAAACCAGAAGTTTCGATGCTGTAATCCCCCTAAAGAGTTTCTATGTCTTGGGAAAATTTCCAGCAAAGTTATAGAGCTGTTCTTCACTGGCTCACCCTCCTTCTGCACAAATATAAAGTAATTTGGCCAAATTAGAGAGCACAGTGAGGTGAGATTTCAAAAACTAAGCCAGCTAACTTGTATTAAGAGACCCGTCACAAACTAGAATGGAAGGTTAACCTTTGAAGAACCAAATTCAGTCTCTGGTTAACAGCGTACAAAAACACTACTTGAACCACTCTAATGTATCTAATTTGTGTTCTTAGCTTTGAATCAAACACTATCTCTAAACAAACAAATTTACCCCACACAGGTACCATGGCTGCTGATATTCTTACCGATGGATTTCATATTCTAAGAAGCCCTTCAACAAATAAAAGATGGGGCCAAATTGTCTTTAAAAAAAAAATCACACTTAACACCAAAGGTGCAGATAAACAAAAATTAGGACGCAATGAATATAAATTTAACCTCTGAGGCTTTCTTTAAATCATGCTAGCCTGAAAATGTTTTATTTAGTATTGAGCACAATATTTTTTATGTCCCTAACTTCCTTGTCATGCAACTTTTACCAGCACTTCCTGTTTATCACAAAAGTGTGCATCAAATTTTCGTCATTAAAATCATCTTTTTATCACCTGAGTCACAACAAAACATTTTAACATATCCACAGGGTAAACAGACGCTATTTTAATGGGCCCAACTTGTTAATTTACCCCTTAGTAATTTAGCTCAAACATCACCTGCTCCTTTAAATAGAGATAGTAAAGTTTACTAACAAAATGAAAGTTAAAAAAAAAAACGTCACAAGATCTAAATGAGTGCACTTTGAACATGTGGAATACAAAACCTCATATTTATTAATATGGCAGTTCAGCTTGTTTTTCTCTTGTGTCATGCAACCCATTATAGCACTTTGCTCCTTGTAAATGATGGCAAATTGTTTTCACATTCATTATCAAACCTTACTGCATTGACTAGTGTACATCAGTTTATAGTTTGGTTCAAGCCAATAAATCTATGGGAATAAACTTCTGCTAAATTCTGCTAAATCATTGTTTAACAAATTCAAGACTCAATATAATGTAGGCAATAGAATTTTATGATTGGTTAACAAGTTAAAGATCTGCAGCCATCTGTGACAGTGCTAGTTACCCAATATATGGTGTGATATCTTGTCAAGAAATGACTGGTCTGTTGGTACTCAAAAATACTGTTGTTTCGTTTCATTCAGCGATAACTACTGAGGCTCTCGCAGTCAGGCGTCCAGAGAGTGAACCTGTACGCAGCTTTTCCTGATCGTTGGATAATGAGCTAGAGCCATTAGGGACCGAGTCCTTGACGCAGGCATTGTTTAGGGAAAATAATAGCGCAAGGGTGTAAATTCTAAAGTACAGTACCTCATACTTTATGAGCTATTTACGGCCTACATCATTAGAGTTCACAACGTACCGCGTTTGCTTGTTTCGGATCCTTGAATTGCACAAATGCGAAGCCTCTGAAACGAAAGAAAACAAACAATAAGTGTTCGAATTCACGGACAAGTGTCAATTACACGAAAGCGCGAGCAAAGAACACCATTAAAAGATTAAGAATGGACTTTCACAGTTCAACGATCATTTATAATATGTTTTCCGTTCACGAACACGTTGTAAAATATGGTTGAATTTCGCCAAACAAGAATAGGCGCAAGCCATGAAATATAGAATTAGGAAATTCTGTCAGTCAAAACAACGATAGCTGGCGCCTCGCTCAAGTCCCCTTGAACCATCCATTAATTTCCTTATGCGCTTATAGCGTGCTTCTACAAAGTCATGCCAATGTTTATGCTACAAAATGACCGCGAAAAATATCTCGCTACAGGGGGTTGTTTATATCGAACATTAGACACCGGTGGTCTTTTATAGGACTGTTCTTTTTACTTGAATTGTTTAAACCAAAAACGAAAACCCGTCGATCAATCGCCTATATCCTCACCGTAATCGGGTCAATTGCTTTTATTTCACGGGTTCGTGAAAATTTTAGAAGCCATTCTCTGAGGTATTGCGCGATTTCACGAGCCAGACAAAAGAAAAACGTGTATTGTCACACGAAGCCGCGAAAAGTAAAGCTGATTCCTACATACATTATATATGTAAACTGAGAGACATCGAGCACGTGGGCTCGACTACAAAAGAATACATTGTCGGTCTAAAAATTATTACAAACTTGTCTACAACATTAGCTCAGCTCAAGTTCGAATGACAAGGGTAAAAATACAGAGAATAGGCAATACTTACCTGGAGCGACCCGTCAAAGCGTCCATTTTTATTTCAACACCGACAACTTCACCAAAAGTATTAAAATAATCTGTCAAGGTTTCTGAAATTGGAAGGAGTTTTAACGGCTGGTCGTAAACAACCTCTTCGACATCTGGTTTCCACAGACATGGGAAATATACTACTACCTCTTACATGTATTTTCACATTTTGAAAAAAAATTTAAAAATTGAAAGTAAAAAATTCAAGATACCTTTAGTGGTTTCGTAGCTGAGTCCGCCCACGAAGAGTTTGCTGTAAACGGCAAACAATACGAAGGGAAGTTGACAAGAAAGCTAGAAAGTGGTGCGACGCCACGCATTCGAAACAACTTAGAATAAAGAGTTGCGTGAAGCGTAACAACACACGTACACAGTCACAATGGTTTAAACACACACTACAACCCAGCAGGCCAGCGCGAGATTTAAGACCTGTAAAATTCTTAGACCCTTATGAGGTGCCACTAATAAATTACAAATTATTTTCGCGTAAATTTTCGTGAATTTTGCGCGTAATATTGATAAACTTAGTGACTTTACCCTTCGTCGTCCTCTTTCGTCATTCTTTTTTTCGCCTCGGCCGCCTGGCTTGCGATACCATTCACAATTTTGTTGTTGGCCATCGCGCAAGGTCCCTGGAGCTTTGCAAAGCTGATTTTTAACTTATAACCATCGCTTTAACTATAAAGTGTTCGCCATGCCACGAACAACTCTCTTCAAAACTGAAACCTTCAGGCGCCAAATGCTCGAAATTCCGGTTTCAATGAAGGGCATGCTGGGAAAACCCGCAAGTGGTCACGTGGAATAAGAAGACCGGTGTCTGATTGGTGAAAATAGCGGGAACAACAGCCCGGAGTAACCTGGAGAGGAAAATAGCGGCTTGTGATTGGTTGATTTGCGTCAGACACTTGTTGACTCTCGAGTTGACACTCAGAGCGCTATATATGCTCACTTTATTCAATGTTGATGTTTTCACCTTTGTCTAATTTTGGCAGGTTGACATCATCGGGTGCAAAGCACGCGATCGTATATATATCACGCTTTATTGGATTTCATCAGAAAGTGCAAAGCACATGAATGGCGTAAAAAAACTTTCGAACTATCCAGTTCGTAACAGAACAGGTACACGGGTGTAGTGCTTTCTTTGAGCAGCACAAAGTTTGTGAAACCAGAACGATAAAGCTATAGATGTTTCGCTTTCTCGGGTTTATGCGCTTAGAAATTAGAAGAATTGTAACGATTCATTAAGCCTGGCTGGGCTTGGCCTTCGCGATATGACGCACATGTTCTCCTGTTTCAGACGGAAGCAATCCAGGCCATCGTTCGTATCAGAAACAGAAAATTACCCTCTCGAAGAGACAACTCGTACAATACCTACTATTGGACTCCGAAGTTATTGCGATCAGAAAAAAAGGTCCCTTTATCCAAAAATTCATTATATAAACCAAAAATCGGCCATCATAGAAAGAACTGCAGTTTGTAATCTTTCATAACAGTCGAAATTTTTACCGGGGAAGTTTCGTGCGACGTTGACACGACGGGTCGAAACTTCAGAGATCACACGCACACTTCAGCATCGCTGTTGTTTTGTCTGCGGGGTAACTCGTGTAGCGTGCAGAAAAGTTATAACAAAATGTAGCCGGGAGAAATATCATAAATTTTAGCGCGCCGGTTTGTTGACAATTTTCAGCAAGCCTTTCATTCTTCGCTGGCTTAGACTCAATTCCCGTCAGTGTCGCCCATGGTTTTTAATTACTTTTAATAATCACTCCAAGTTGTGCATTTCCTCTACCCATAAACTGACCCCGCGCGGCTGTTACAGGGTTAAAGAAAAACGACGCTAACAGCTTGCATGTCATTCAAACGCACGAGCTGCGCTTGTGATCGAGCAACTCAAATTCCATTTTTAACACTCAGCTGACCGACTAAAGACTGGGAATAGCGACTTCAACTTTTGTTTGAACATTGTCCCTGAAAAAAGTTTACGAAGATCTGCACGTGTAAACAATACATGGCAAGACAAAATCCATCGATCACTTTCACCACAAATTTCGTTTACCCTCCAGGCAATATGAGCTACCAGAACAAAGAGAGATGTTTTATTGTTTCCTCTCCTCGTTTGACAGTTTCAGAGTTTCGGTTTCTTTCAAGCTGTGTTGTAACAAATATATGTTTCTAATTTAAATGTGTAATTTTTAAAGATCATCCAAACAGTATTAGTTGCCAAGCCACTGCTCTCGTGTTTAATGTGGCTAAGGAAGTCTGATAAACCATTTATTACACGAAATTCAAAAGGTTTAAAGTTCCTGAAGCCAATACAGAGCGCTGTACTACCGTTTTGAAAGTACGCCGTTTATTTTATCATTCAACTTCCTTAATCGTGGTGTTTCTTTCAGTTTTTTTTAGTGACAAAGATGGTATGAAAGCATTTTACTGAAAGGCCCTCGCCTTCATGGTTTTGTCCGACGCACGCTAATGATAAAAGCGGCGATCCTAGGTTCTCCAAAGGTTCTCAGTAATTGAGTTTTCTATCATTGTCAAATGGCGGAAAGAACTCACTCTGAGGCGTTCGGTGAATCGCCCTATCTCGGGGCATTTTGATCAGAATGAAAGTCCATCTGCCTACATATCAACATGAGACATTTCCCAAAGTCAGCTGCAGTCTAAACACTGCATCGCAAAGAACAAAATTTTTTTTCAAAACAGTTTTTTTTTGGAACAGCCATTTTCGGACACAAAGACTGAAATAGACTAATTTTATACACATCCCTTAGCTGACCAACAGTCATAAACTTACAATGTCCCGCTTTCAGCCTTCCGGCGGCAGGGAATTTCAAGAGAAGACGTATGACGCCCACGGGGCATTTCCGCAAAATGAGACTTCTCTTTATCTACAGTTTCCTCTTTTATCCATATTTTTTTCATTTTAGTACTTTGGCCTGACTGCACGAGAGAGTCACAGAAAAAGATGGACAATACCTCTTTCTAGAATGGAAGGGAAGTCGGTTTTTTTTTTTGTTTTTTTGTTTTTAATTTTTTGACGCTTTTTGCCGGTTAAAATTGATCGATTCGTCATGGTATTCATGACAGTTTTAACAATGCTTTAGCTGGTGTTAGGACCTTTTAGAGACTAGACAGTGAATAATTTCAAACCATAAAAAGCGTTGTTTATCTTGGCAGAATTAAACATAAATTTGCCATGCAGTCGCGTGATTATTGCTTCAATTTTCCTCAAGGATTTAGAATATGGCCTGAGAACTGAACAATTTCTGCAAATCGAAAATAAAATTCTAGACATGTGTCATTTGCTGTAGCCTAAAGATAGTCACGTTTGTGTAAATAGCAAGCATTTAAGGCGAAATTAATGATTATTATTTTGAGAGTAAGCGGTTACTAAAGCAAAGACTTTTTTTTGCATTTTCTCCGACCAGACTTTCAAGTGCACATGCACTGTACCATTGGCAAATATTACAGGTTGTTTTACTGGTGGATCGAAGGCTACCCGCTCTACCGTTCCTAATTAAGTGGAACAAGTTTGCTGATTTCAATTTTTTTTCAGATAATGTTACAGGGAATTGCGAAAAGTAATCCGGGGAAGTAGATCGCTTTAAATTCGGAAGGTACTTTAGTTACGCGCGATCACGACCATGAAAAAACTGTTTCTTTTTTTCTCTTTCTCTCGTGATCGAGGAACTGGGAATGACAAAGTCTTAAAGTTCAAAACTCAAATGGGTTTCGACGGAAATGAGATTGATGGCGGGTTATTGAAAAGAGAAGTAGGAGAGGATCGGGGTTCTGCCATCAATCAATTGAAAGTAAGCTACGTTCTGGATCCGTTGAAAACGACTAGACATGTATATTTAACGAAAAACCATGGAAGTAAATGTTTTTGTTTTGATATAGTGCCTTAGGTCACTTTCAATTGGAGTGATCCGTCTTCGGGGACTGTAACTTGCGTCCGACACGCAGCCAAAAGTTCACGCGGACTTTATAATGGCTTTCACTGCGTTAAAATGTAGTCTAACTTTATCACGAAGAATAGGGAGATTTTGGTGAGATTCCACTGATATCTTTTCCTCATTACATGTCTAGGGATTGCAGTGTGTGTCCCTATAGTCAAACCTATTCATCACTACCATTGAATGATTTGTTTTGTTTTGTTTTGTTATTTTGTTGTTTTTTTTTTCTAAAAATAAATAAATAAACGCAACTACGTAATTCCACAATAATACATTTTACTTAAAGAAAAAAAAAAACTGGGCCTTCACCGCCAACTTGCAAGCTGCACTACTCGCAATGCACGGGGTACGGACGCATGTCAGGCGTTCTCTATAGTCGAGAGCAAAATGGCTTACCACGCCCTGAATTGATCCAGTTTTCCCGTGTAAAAGGTTTGTCTTTAAAAAAGACCCAAACAGAATCATACTGAGCGAAGATAGAAAGCCGGAAAATTCAAAAACGCAAATAAATGATTTTAAGAAACCTGAACGGTGTTTCTCTCATTAACAGACGGCGCTGGAGTTTGAGTGTTCAGCTGAGACGTCGAGAGCAAACTATTTTAGTTTGGCTAGCAAGCCTCCGATCAGATCTGAAGAAGATCTACCTTTGATTACTTTAGACGAGTGAGGAGGGAATAAATGATAAAATCCTTATATCTAAAGAAATAAGAAGTCAAATTTCATTCATATCAATAACTAAAACAGTACATCAACATATTGTGAACAAAATTTACATAACAGGCAGACGAAATAAAACTCTTTCATCCTCCCACTTATCAAGTCAATCTGGAATAAAAACCAGCGTATCAGCACATTTTTTAAAACAGTGATAAACACATAATACTTTAAAGTTTGGGTTGGAGTTAATATGCCGGTCACGTTCGTTAATTTGGGAAGAAATTCCGTAGTTACCTCCTTGATAATTAAAACAATTTTAGAACTTTTCTGCTAGCATTAGTCACAATCGCAAATTTGATACCGCTAGACTTTAAGATAATAATTGAAGGCCATTTTCTGAGAAAAATTTGAAAATTGTTGAAAAAAAAAACTTTAGAAACTGAAAATCCTGTTTTCTTTTCAACTTTTTCACCGTAAACCACCCACATGGTGGTATTTCTTTTAATTTTATTTTAGGCATACCACCTTCAAGTTACCAGCTGCCGGTATGTCCATATCGCAGATTGGGTTCTTTCGGAAGCACTTTCTTCATTATTCCTCGGCCGGCGATATTCTTGTCATTTTATTGAACCGACGGGAAAACTTCAAAAAATTTTGAAATAATTGTTCTTTATCGTTTTGGTACATTTGATCTATACCTCCATATTTCCCGACTTTTTTTCTACGTACTCGATTTAAATGACTTGTCATTATAACGCAAGATCTCGCGGTAACACGCGATATTCATGTGGACTCCATTGGGATCAGGCGATATTACAAGCGTTAGAATTAGATGCTGATTGTCAAACGGCGTCAACAATCTCTGTGAATTAAAAGAAGCGTGAAGATGATATTTTAAATTTCTGTTTTATCTAATCGCATTAACTTACAGCTCATTCTATGTCCACTAAGCTTCGCGTTAAAAAGAAAAAAAAAAGAAGCTTGTAATGATCTAACTCACTCCTAAGTTATTCAATTAACCCATTAAATGGTACAGAAAATTATTATTTCTTGCGAGGGTTTATGTTTATGATTTTTTAAGGATTCATTAACCATGCTAAACCAAGCAAGGTAAAAAAAGCCATTTAGGTTGCCAAATTAGCATGCAGTGACTTGTAAAACTACAAGAAAAGCCACAACCGTAGTGGACTATATATATATATATATACATATATACAGGGCAAATTTTCTTTTCAAACATTTATTCTATTTATATATATATATAACAAGTCAAAAGGCCTCGAGCCAACAGTGACGCCGCGCCAGAAGGATCCAAAAGGATTCACAGTCCAAACCTTGATCACTAGTAAGAAAAATATTGCAGTACACGAAGACGGACAACTTCGAGCTAAGCAAGACATATACTCAAATATAAAGTATAAGAAAGTTTAATAAAATACGTTTCGGTCCGAGATGATGAAGGTCTCGGACCGAAACGTATTTTATTAAACTTTCTTAGACTTTTTATTTGAGTATATGTCTTTCTTAGCTCGAAGTTGTCCGTCCTCGTGTACTACAATATTTTTCCTACTATTTATCGAGGTTTGGACTGTGAATCCCTTTGGATCCTTCTGGCGCGGCGTCACTGTTGGCTCGAGGCCTTTTAACTTGTTATATATATATATATATATATATAACTAACTGCAGACAGTACTGTTTCGGCCTTCTGGGCCTCATCAGTGCAGTGCTAATGCTAGGATGGAGGAGAACCAATATGGTCACCCCAAACGATCCAACCTTTGTGGTATCGTCTAAG